AAAAAAAAAAAAAAAAAAGAAAAAATCTTAAATATATACTTTAAAACATTGTCTTTTTTGCTTTAATTCATTGTTAAAAATAATGTGACACTGAGGGTAAATATTTAAAAGAAAAAAAGTCTCCTCTAGTACCTCTCCAACATACTTTGGTTTTTGTTGTTCCTGCACATCTGCATGCATTATTATTATTATTATTATTATTATTTTGAGATGGAGTTTCCCTCTTGTCAGCCCAGGCTGGAGTGCAGTGGCACAATCTTGGCTTACTGCAACCTCTGCCTCCTGGGCTCAAGCGATTCTCCTGTTTCAGCCTCCCAAGTAGCTGGGATTACAGGCACCTGCCACCATGCCCAGCTTTTTTTTTTTTTTTTTAAATAGAAACGGGGTTTCATTATGTTGGACAGGCCTGTCTCGAACTCCTGGCCTCAGGTAATCCGCTAGCCTCGGCCTCCCAATGTGCTGGGGTTACAGGCATGAGCCACCGTGCCTGACCACCTCCCTCGCTTTCTGAGCTTCCTTGTTTCTTTGCCCACTCAACGCCCATTGAGCATCGCTTAGTAGTGTTTGGCGTTCACATCCCTTTGGCTGAGACAGGGTCACCCCCATTCTGGCCCCCAGCCCTGAGCACAGCGCCTGGCACCCAGCAGGCATCCAATCCAGCTTTCAAGGTGGTTTTGTTCTGCAAGCACTGGCTTGAGCGGATCCTTCTGGATTGGCCAGGTGGGACCCTGTGGAACCCATACGCCCCAGGTGAGCCACACCAGTGTCCAGGGGAGTGACCATCTTACTTTTCTCCCTCAGGACTTCCTGGGCAGATACCCAGTCTCCAGGCACTCCTGGGTGGGAGCCTGGCGAGGCCCCCAGGGCTGGCACTGGATCGACGAGGCCCCTCTGCCGCCCCAGCTGTGAGTGACCATGGGCTTTTCTCCCTCCTCTGCTGTTCTGGATCCTCCATTTGTCCAGGGTCCACCTCCTTGCTGCTCCCCTAACCTGGAATGCCACTCGGAAAGCAACCCACGCCCATCCTCGCGGCCTGGTGCCTGATGAGTCCCTGTCACTTCACTCCTTATTTGGGTTCCCAGCACGTTCACCCAAGCAGGGTTGTCACCCCCGTTTTACAGATGCGGGTTCAGCTGCCCAGGGAGGTTTGGGGATTCATCCAGTGCCACGTGGCTGACCAGTGCAGTGACTCACTCAGCGCGCAGGCCGGTAGAGGTGACAGGCACACAGGCTAGAGGGTCTGTCTGGGAAGTGAGGCCCCGGCACCCTAAACACCTCTCCTCTCTCCCCTCCCACCCTTCTCCAGACTCCCTGAGGACGGCAAGGACAACCCGGATATCAACTGCGGGGCCCTGGATGAAGGCACTCTGGTGGCTGCAAACTGCAGCACTCCAAGACCCTGGGTCTGTGCCAAGGGGACCCAGTGATCTGGGCTCTGCCTGTCCTCAGCCTGCCAGGCGGATGCAGCACCCCTACAGGGGAGGCCAGTTGAGAGCTTGGGCAGCCTCTTCCTGGACCCAGGCATCCAGGTCTCCCTGCTCTGTTCAAGGGGGCACACACGAGCGAGTCTAGGAGCTGGACTTCAACCCAGGAAGATGCATCCGAGGGAAAGGAGATTTTCTGTGGCCTCAGGCCTGAGTGCCAATATTAGTCTCCAGCTTCTGTGGATGATTGGTTTGATGACATTGGGATGGTTGTTTAGCATTTCTGTGCCTTGGTTTCATTAAAATGACAATTTCTCCCTAGACGAAAAAGACAGGGTTAGCAACCACAGCTGATTCCAATCTGGGTTCTCATCCCCACTCATGGAAACGAGTTTGCTGTCGTTCGGTGGCAGTGGGACTTGGCAGGGATAACGTCATTGCTGTGAATTCTATTCCAGGCAGCTGGGTGTACGTCGGACACAGCCTACCGGCAGCCTCTGTGGAAAATTAACCAAGGAAAAGGAGCGGTCAGGCCTGGAAGGAGTGGGGAGAAAGGTTTTCCTTCCCCGCCCTGAGAGTTGGCAAAGGGTTGGCAGACAGGAAGGTTCTGGGTGGAGATCCCGCATGTGGGCTGGCCGGCTCCTGGCAAGTTGATGCCCAAGGGTAAGACAAGACAGAGAGGACAGGGCCACCTGGCAGGAGAAGCCAGGAGAGCACCCCAGCTTGGTAAGTGGAAGCTGAGAAGTCTGAGTGAGAAAGGAAATCAGAGAAATGCGGGCAGGTTCCAGGCAGCTCTTCCGCCCACAGCTGCAGAGACGACCAGCCTGAAGAAGTCCCTGTGCTGGGGTGCGGTGAAGACCTTCAGGCTGGAGGAAGTGGCTGACAGAGTTGAGTCCAGCTAGACCTCCAAACAGCAGGAGCCTGGGCCTGCGTCTTAGCTTGGTGCTGGGCACGCACTCAGCTGGCCCTTGCAAGCCAGCCTTCCCTCTAAAGTCAGACCACGCACCCAGATCCCTCCTAAACAGAAATCCTTATTGATGCATTTGAGCCAGTAATGGGCTGTCTGGGAGAATGGAATGGAGAGTCCTAGATGGAAGAAATTTCTCACACTTTTTTTAAAAATTAGTATTATTATACTTTAAGTTCTGGGGTACATGTGCAGAACGTGCAGATTTGTTGCATAGGTATATACGTGCCATGGTGGTTTGCTGCACCCATTAACCTGTCATCTACGTTAGAAATTTTTCCTAATGCTATCCGTCCCCAGCCCCGCACTTCTCACACTCTTGAGATGTAACAACGAAAAGGGAAATGGAGACCAGGTGCGGTGGCTCATGCCTGTAATCCCAGCACTTTGGGAGGCTGAGGTGGGCGAATCACAAGGTCAAGAGTTCGAGACCAGCCTGGCCAACATGGCGAAACCCCATCTCTACTAAAAACACAAAAAATTAGCTGGGCATGGTGGTGGGCGCCTGTAATCCCAGCTACTCAGGAGGCGGGGACAGGAAAGTTGCTTGAACCCAGGAGGCAGAGGTTGCAGTGAGCCAAGATTGCACCACTGCACTCCAGCCTGGGCGACAGTGCAAGACTCCGTCTCAAAAAAAAAAGGGAAATGGAAATTCCCTGGCTGGAGGTGAAATGGGTGGCTCGGGTGGGGCAGACGCCAATCAAAATACATCCTATGCGGGCAAGAAGCTGTGTATGTTACCCTCCCACCCCCTGCCGTATGTTCCCAGGGTCTGTGCCTGGAGAAATGACACATCTGTAGGTTATAAGTATACAAAACCTTATCTAGCCTTCTCAGTACCTTTTAGAGAAGGGAAGTGTTGTACTTAAAGTCACCCAGCTAGAAAGTGCAAGGTCCAGAATGGAACCCACTTGCTGTCTGACTCCAAAGGCCATACTCTCCATCCCAGCACACAGTAGAGGAATCTAGAAAGGTATTAGTGGCAGCCGAGTGGGAAGCCATCAGGTGGA